GTGCATTATATACTCTCACACTGGGAATGGTAACGTGCAAGATGGAATACGGGTCGGCTATCCACTACAGCATCAAGGTTCGCAGGGGAGAATCTGGCCGCCAGATTCTCCGCCGTTACTTGAAGCAACGGGGATTTGCTTCAAACTATCTACTTCTGTCTTTCAGGAGTCAGTGTTGTATCATCGAGTGAAGCATGCAACTCTACGTCCACTTCAATCTGCGAAGTTACTACCGTAGGTTTCCTCTAGTGAGAGGCGATGTTGGGGCGATCGGAAGAAAACTCGAAGTGTATGTAGGCAATCCTCGGCAAGAAGTGCATTTCAGTTCAACTACAGTATACAGGGCCAGACCATGCACCTGAGCAGTTGATATCAATCGAGAAAGGAAATATTCGTCGAATCTTCTGAACTGATTCGACCGACATACACTATGACAGTCATGAACTGATTTTAATTTGAGTAGCATCACGTTGTTGATTCGGCTCGTCACTGCTCCTGTATGCTCAGTCCTTGCTCAGGAGGACTTCTCGAGGGGAAGGTTGGTCGACCTTGTGGCAGCGGTTGTCTTATCGAAGTTTGAGTCATTCGAATCGTTTCCGCGTGAGTGATACTCACTAAGGCGGGTGACGTGGAATGGACGAGGACACCATCTGGATAGAGAGTCTTAACCCAGTGACTGACTGTAGGGGATGAGGAGTGATGGTTGCTATGCTCATTGGCTATTGCACATTCGTTAGTCGTGTGTTCGGGAGAGTTGTCGAGATCAGTGATGTTCAACACAACCATAGGAGAGTAATCAAACCTAATTGATCATGTTGCTACTACTATAGCTATTATATTAAAATTTTAGGTGATAAGTTAAAATCAGTCGGTAAAAGGTTAAAAAGGGTATTTTTCAAAAGAAGTGGTTAAACTCGGGTAGAATATTAAATTGACGTGGAAATGCTGTAGGAAGTATTGAGTATCAAAACGGTCGGGCGAGCTTGGAACAGGGTTTTGAACTATTCGATGGAGTCATAAGCTAAGGCGTGTGATAGAGGATACTCCTCGAGATGATTAACACGGCGATTTTGTATTACATTTATGTTGGAGTTTGTCAGTGTAGTACCGAAACTTGCACGGACGGGAGAGGGTTGTTGTGTTGATGTATTCAATTCGATGGTGAGGCCCTTAGCTTCGTCTTATTCGCTCAGCCTCAGCCTTGTGTGGTATCTTATGGTAGTACGATTAGTCTCTGTCGTGGTCCAAGGATTCGCCAAAGAAGTGGTAGGAAAATTTGATCGGTCGGTGATAATTCAGCAATCATAGATACTACTGTATGTGATAGTGAACATTCCATCGATATGGTATAGCATGATAAAAGCAGACGATATAGTAGACCTTTTGTGGTGTATGAATATACCTGGCCTTGTTGAACTCGGGAGCAACAAAAACTTGAGTCATTTGCTGGCAAGTGAGTGACGATAAGGCAAGTGCGAGAACTGAGTCAGTTATCGCATGCTATCCTCATATAATATTCTAGTCTGTTTAGATTTATATATTATCACTCCATATAGACTTCGACAACTCACTATAAGTAGTCGTTGCTGTTGTTGTTTTTTTCATGTTTTTACCGTTGTTGTTCCCAACTGGGCCTTATCTTGCGACATTTTCTTAACTGAGCGAGCTATATGAGATCACACTGAAATCCGTGATATCAGACTTCGCATGAGAGTCCAGGTACGGGTCTGTGCCTTGCAGTAGGAGGACAGTGCTATCGACGGCTTCCGGTGCAGCTGGTCCCTGGCGTGCTACCTCTCATCGGTGAGCCCTTTATGACAATCAGATTAGTATTGGTTCTCTTAGGTACTTTTGATAACTCAATCGCATTGATGGTGATGATATCGGGTATCTTATTATTGTTCGGTGCTGTTGCGGCGTCCACGGTTGGGTTGTAGACCACTGTGAGGTCTTGCTACTAGTCAATTCTAGGCATATAGAAAGTTGGGGTGACAAGTGGAGGGGAGAGGTGACTACACCCGCCAATGTGAAGCCGCGATTGGAGAGAAATTCAATTGATTGCAATGCTGCTCGAATAGTGATATCGAACGGTAACAATATGAACTCAATGTTCGCTCTGTTGTTCACGTTGGAGTACCTTGTGATGAGCCGTTCATCGCCTTATGCTAGTTGGTTTGTTCTGCGTTATGGAGTCGATTGTCGACTCGCCCGCCCTCGTTATTACATCGGACGGTTGTGATGATGAACATGGTGGGAAGGAGAAGACATGTTGCTGCTCCTGCCGAGATTCTAGTAAGGGAAGGGTTTTTGGCACATACCGTAATTTCCCCGGAAATAGTATATTTAGCTCGTGTGTTGATTTAACGGTAATTCTATCAGTTTTATCATCCCTTTATGTCTACTGTAGTAGTATATCGTTAACTTTTGGAGCTATCGATAGAACTACGCGCGGTCTAAAGAGCCCGGTTCATGTCGCCGACATCGCTTTTCGTCGCAAGCTGAAATTTTGTATATAGCATCTGCTAATACTACTATGTTGTTAAAAAACGTCACGAAGTAAATTCTCAACAAAAATTATTGTCTGTTTTCATTTTGACCGGCATTCAACTTGTATGCGAAAACCTTTCCAGCTCTACTCGGTTTCGAGGTCCTCGTGAGTTGCCATCTCCCAGCGACTCGTCAGTCAGCCCATCTGGTGGAGCTCCGCCAGCCGTATCGCGTCGTTCTCATCCGGTCGTGGCGGTCGAGACACCACCGCCGGTTTGTATGTATAGGGCTACCGTGGAGGAGGTTGAAGCTGTCAAGAGATGCATTATTGCATATTATAAGTATGCTCGGTCTTGTCGAGTGAGCGACAATATGTGGTTTTCATCAGACTTCAACGTATTCGAGGGCAGCAACCAACAAGAGCAACAATGAATTGTATCAATAGCTTGCGAAGATCATTAGATCTCCACAAGCGCACCTCGCCGTCGCGTATAGATACTGTTGGGAGTAACAGCGGGAAACCTCCTAGGTCTCCTCCACGCACAACATCTGGACAGAAAATGCTGTCGCCCAAACCACCACGTGTCACCACCAACGCACCTGTGTCACCACCTGGGTAGTAATTTTCCATTGTGAAGATGGTGGTGACAACAGCAGCGACAACTATCGGAGATATTACTCTGCGACTTTCTCGGGGCTTTTTCTATACTACCAACGAACGACGCCTTTTTCCTCATTTCGAGTTCTGTCAAGATCAAAGAGAAGAGCTGATCTGTCGGCCTGAGGTTGATAAGGCGAGTCGAGGTATACTTGTAATGATACTACGTTGATTAATGTCCCGAGGGGATTACATGTTATATCGAATTATTTCGGTTTTTTGGAAATCTTATTTTTAGATGTTTTTTGGCCCCACGTTGTTGTCCGTAGTATGTTTTAGCGGGTATATACTTCTCACAATTTTTTTTAGTAACGCTTACATATGTGTCAACGAGATGATGTTTTTTTGGTAATAGGAGAACTCGCCGCGAAGTAGAATATATTTTTTCGAGGACTTCTTCACTATTGCTACGACTCCGGGTCTTTGTTGCTGTCATCCTATGATGCATCGCTCCGCCGTTTTTGTTAGTCAGGCGAACGCCTGTTTCTATCAAGGTTGTGTGGACCGTGATAGAGCATAGCCGTGACACGGATTCCGTATGCGGCGGTGTCACTAGGGCGAGGGTAGGTTTCTGTGGTGATGATAGTTGTAATTTGGAGTGGAGGAAGTGGAGTATCTGTGTCGAGTTGTAATAGCTTTAATGAGGAAATGGTAGCTTTCCTTATCGCATGTTTTGTATTCTTTTTCCGTCGTTTAGGAACATATTTTGGTCGCGCCTACCGCCGAGGGCTGTTTCTGATTGTGGCGAGGAATCACATACAGATTGTCAGTCGTTGTAGGACGATGCGTACTCTATTGCGGCCACAGCGTTCGAGGCGATTGAGTGCATCACTGCGGTGGTTCGATCGCATAGCAGATAGCTCATCTTGTCACAGAGGTTTGACACTCTTATACTGGAGTTTCACCCGTTTTACGTGAAGTGGCGAAATTCTTTGTGAAAAAAGCGCGATATTCGCGCTATGCAGCAGTGGCCGTGAAATATATTTTCCACTAGTGTTTTTCATATCGCTAGAGTGAAACTCCATAATGACTAGTGCTAATAACGGGATTTTGGGTGCTGTGAGTGGCGCTGGCAAGGCTAGTCCGATAGTGGTGAAGACCGCCCTGGTGTCTGTCTATGATAAGACTGGTCTCGACAGCTTGGGAAAGTGCCTGGCGAGCTACGGTGTTAAGGTGAACTTTCAAGCCGACCAAAGAATTCGTTTGGTGTTGGTTGTATATCAGATATTATCAACGGGCGGGACTGCCAAGAAGATGAAGGATTTGGGCTGCTCGGTGATGGACGTCAGCGAGTACACTGGGAGTCCGGAGATTCTCGATGGTCGTGTTAAGACCTTGCACCCTAAAGTGAGGCATTGTAATTTCGTGTTTGTGTCTGCGTGCAGTGGTCATTGTAGTGAGGAGCATAGCGTCTAGGGCCTATCAGGTGTATAGCTTACTTCTAGGTGCATGGGGCGTTGCTGGCGGTGCGCGGTAATGAATCTCACGAGAGGCAGCTAGTCGAACTTGGAATTGAGAAGATCGATCTTGTTGTTGTCAATTTGTACGTGCGCGAGCTCTCTGTTGGCCAAATCACTGCTCGCCTAGGTATCCGTTCGAGGATGCAGTAGCGTCCATGTCATCGGACTTCTCTGCATGCATAGAAAATATTGACATCGGAGGCCCATGCATGGTGAGATTTGGAAGGAGAACGGCGCCGGAGTTCCCATGCGCAGATTCGAGCCGCTGCGAAGAACTCCCATGGTGTTTGTATCCTCACCAGCACGGCTGATTACGACGAGTTAGCTAGGGAGCTAGCAATGAACAAAGGGTAGTGCTTGTGGTCGAGTTCTATTGTGAGTGCCAGGTTTGTATGAGTCAGGTCGACCACTCCGGAATTTCGCAGACGTATGGCATGCAAAGCTTTCGCGCTGACAGCCAGGTGAGAAAATGTTGGAAAAATAGCAGCTCCTTGTTTCGATCAAGGGACCTTTGGGTTATGAGCCCAACACGCTATCCACTGCGCCAAGCTGCTGTTATGATGTGATAGTTCATACTCTGCCTCACCGATTGGACGCTTACTCATTGTGCCCTCGTCAGAGGATATCACGTTTGTTCGTCATGCCTCAGATACGACAGTAAGATAGCTGCCTATATGTCTTCGGTAGCGGATTCGACGGAAACTCTCGCAGGGTCCGTAACGCAAGTAAGTTGGCGTGATAGCTCACGTCTACAGAGTGCGTCTATTGTATGGTTGCCTTACTAGGGGGGTTACTCAGCCACCCCTACTAAGTGTGGTTCGATTTACTGTCGCAACCCATGCTGTACTCAGGCGTTCGATGTGGTATCACCTTTGAAATACGGATGCAATCCTCATCAACAGCCAGCGGCTATGTGCAGTGTGGTCGGCAACGGCGGAGCGATGCCTTTTAAGGTTTTCATCTTGTCTCAGGATCAGCTAGTAGTTTCCCTTCGTTGCAGGTTTTGAATGGAACTCCAGGGTATATAAACCTCCTGGACGCGATCAATTCTTGGATGCTCGTCAGAGAAATGGATACGGCCACAGGGTATGTTTCATACCACTTTTTTTACTCATTTCCTTCCTCATGTTAGACTCCCATCCGCGGCTAGCTTCAAGCACGTGAGTCCCGCTGGTGCTGCGGTGGCAAGCGCCGAGTTGCAAGGTAGGACTCAGGGATCGATGATAATGTCCTTGAGTGTAGAGAGAAACCGTCTGTTCCAACTTAGGCAATGAGGCTTCCATATACGAGGTGGCTCCATCAGCACGTGGTAACTTGACTCCCGTGGCTCTGGCGTATATCCGTTCGCGAAACGGGGATCCTATGTGTAGTTTCGGCGACTTTGTCGCGGTCTCAAGTAAGCAGGCGAGGAACGTCTAAGTGGTCTGGGCTCGTTGCACGATCGATGGCTTTGTTGTAGGAACCGTTGATGTGTCCTTGGCCAGCCTGCTGAAATCCGACGTATCGGATGGTATCATCGCGCCAGGATACGAGCCTGAGGCGTATGAGATTCTCAAGGCCAAGAAGGGAGGTAAGCGCATTCGCTATAGGTCCTCTGGAGCTGGTCGCATCGAAGTGTTTCCTCTCATTTCCGGCACCATATTTTTAACGATGCTTCGTCATGTTTGTACCGCTGATTTCATCCGCTGGTCGGATGCGCTTTTGTTCATGGGCATTTTAGCTTAGATCAGTTGTGACAGTAGAGAAGGAGTACCACAATTTGTGGCGTATCACCCCTTCTACCTTATCAAGCTCTCCCTATATCTCTGAGAGTGAGTCTATCATCTATCCAAACGAGCCGCCTATTGATCCGTCGGATCCCAGTGACCTTAGCCAGCATGATCCTGAGGAAACTATTGCTCACCGTGTCATTGTTCATCCTAGAACTCATCGTGAACCTGACAGACTTATTTCTTCCATATGGTGTTCGCAGTCATTGGAAAACAGGATAGGAGGGGCTGTTATAGAGTCGACTTTAATTTCCGGAGGGAGATTGCCGTCATCCTTCGTTTTTACTCACTCAGGTAAATTCGTAATTCTCCATGGGGATACCAACTTTGTATGTCCCGAAATTGAAGTTCGCTCCCTGGGTGGCCTCGGTCTCCTGCAGAAGAGGAATGATATCATCTTTGATTCGTAAGTTTCATTTCTCGAAACTGCTGTTGGCTGTTCGAGATGATTAGGTCGTACTTACAGAACATAGTCACTAAGGCGTCTACGTCCTTTACACAGCAGCAGATCATCGATCTCATCGTGTGCTCTATCGCTGTGAAGTAGACTGTGAGTTACTACGCTGCTCGAATTGGCCTTCCGGTAGGTATACGCAAAGTAATAGTGTTGGTTTTTGCAAAGATGGTATGATGATCGGAATTGGCGCGGGCCAGCAGAGCCGCGTTGACTGTGTGAAACTGGCTGCTAGGAAGGTGGGCGTGACTCCACCCTATCCACGGCACGTTGACTAGCATTGATAGGTCCAAAATTGGTGGCACCGCCAACACCCCAAAGTTTTGGGTATGAAATTCAAAAGCAGTGTGAAGAAGCAGGCCCGTGTGAATGCCCGTGTGAGGTATATCGAGGGGGATATGAGTGAACTCGAGTACACCAACTGGAAGGCCGACAACTTTGATCCTGCTGATGTGATGTGCTGTGACGTCTGGACTGAATTGGACTGTGAGCATTAGGTACCGGAGCCTCTGAGTGATGAAGAGAAAGCCGCCTTTATGAAGACTCTTACGGGTGTTGCTGTGTCCAGCGATGCATTCTTCCCATTCCGGTAGGCGAACTCTCTACGGCGCTCTGCCTGGCAGCTGTGTGTCAGGGATTCTATCGATGTATGCAGCCGCTATGGGGTGACGAGTGTAGTCCAACCAGGTGGCTCAGTTGCTGATGCAGAGGTCATCGAGGCTTGCGATCAGTAGGGAATCAAGTGGAGCAACTTATGTAAAGTTTATGTCAGATATTCGATGACAATGGCCTTCTCTAGCTTGAGGTTGTTCCATCACTAGTGTGTGGAGCGAACGGCGTCATGATTGTTGCAATGCTAACACGACTTTTTCAATGGTTTTCCTGAAGACTATATTCTCGCGTTCGCGATGCGGCACGTATGTCAATGTGTGATTGTTATGGAAGAACAACGCTATAATGATAATAAGAGTTGACTCGAGTAACTAATGTTCAGGCAATTCTCGGCTTTTATACGATGACTTCAGCCATATCAAAAGCGTTATACAAGTAGGAAAACCTGTCATTACAGGTCATACGGAAATTGCAAATGACATTACCATATCTCGAGATTCACGCACTGCAAGTATTATACATGCATCAATACTTGTGTGCGCCGAGATTTATGGGCGAGCGAAAATTATCTGAGAGAATTTCACATCTTACGTGAAAAAGTGAATTTACTTCGGAGTGTAGTCCCGTAGTCCCTTTCGTTTGTGAAGTTGAGCATCGGAAAAACTGCGATCTGAAAGATATCTCAAAGCCCTTTCTCGAGTGCAGGAAGAGAGAATAATAATATGCGTATATTGTCGGAATCAATTCTCTACGTCTAACCCGAGTACTCCGAGTTCCCGCAGTTCTCGAGGCGGTGGGATTCGCCTCAAACAATGCATTGAGCTCAGTTGTATCACTTTCACGAGAATGGTCTCTGGGCGAATTCTAACAACCTTGATCTTGATCATCGCGGTGACTCGGGCAACTCCGAATCGGAATCTCCAAGTTCGTCAGATGCGTCCATCGAACTTCACGTTCCCGCCAGGGTGTGGACCTACTAAGAGGGTCGGCAACCTCACTTACTGCATCACCGGCTCTCTCGATTTGGGCAGGGAGTGGTTGGTTGATTTTAATATGAATTTCTTCGATGTCTTCGTCAACAATAGTGTGAAGTTCGGGCTCAACCTTGCGATTGAGGACGTTGGCACTGCTAAACGCCTCAGTGTGAATACTGGTGGACGCGCCACTGTGGTGAAGCACGACTTCTTTCCTGACTGGCGACCTAAGGACTTCGTTGGTGCGGTGACCATCGGAACTAGAGGCGGCAACACAACGTATGATAACAGCACTAAGAAGTTTGTCTCTAACTTTGAGATATATGGTGACGTTGATATTTTCACACAGGGAAGGAAGTTCATGAGCATGCCTTTTTCGACGCCTTTCGGTTACGCGAGCCTGGGTCAGGACTTCGATGTTGAGTTCAATGGGTCTGTCGTGGCCACCGGTGGAGACGAGCAGGCGAATAGTCGTCTGAACTTCTCCTTAGCTATGTCTACACTGAGTGGTTCAGTATTGAATTGGCATCTGTATGGCGGCTTAGATGTATCAATTTATTGGGAAAAATATGGACGCCATAATTTTACCATACCATTTGTTGACGAAGATATTCAGATTCCGTAATAATGTGCCCACTCATCCCTGTCTCTATATATGTTGCTACACACAGCACATTGAAGGGTCCTTTTCAAGAGCAAACCGACTACTTCACATTCGAGGTTGCATTTTTTTGTCGAATGCATCATCGGGTTCGCTTGTTTCCTAAGGGGAGTCGAAAATGTAGTCGAGCAACATTTGATCATTTATTCTCACCAGCTGATAGTTGACAAGATTGTGATGTGTTGTGAATCAAACCTTCGAGTGAATCATTGGGAATTGATTTCAGCCCGTCTGAGCAAGGACTGTGGTTGTCGAATCCCTGTTGAC